TGCCCAGGTGGAATTAAAGAGTCGCTGCTAGTTTGGAGTGTTGGCTGATGGTTTAACTTGAGTATAGGTGTAGATAGAGGTATATAGCTAGCTTTTATTGGGAGCATTAGGAAAGCAAATTTATCCTAAAATAATAAACTGAAGAAAACTTTTAGCTTAAATGCTTGACCAAAATGTACTTTATGTAGCTGTACCTAGAACCAGTACTAAGACTAAGTTACATTTTAGATCTACTTTGATTGGAACCTATTGACATTTGGCATCAACTTTTATTGATTTTTTTTTATGTAATGAATCTATTAAGAAATGCTGTTTCCACTTTTCATTTCTTGTTGGAATAGTTTATGATCTATGTCCAAAAAGGACGACCGTTTTAATTCTTTCTTTCTTCAGGATTCATCTGCTGTAACTGTCCATCCATCTGGTGTTGAGAAAACTCTACATGAATGCATACATGAATTGAAAGGGTGGTATGGAGACAAGCAGGGGAAAAAGTTTTGGGTTTGGGTGGATCGTGTGTTATCTACGCAGATTGGTCCAAGCACATGGTTGGTGAATTTCAATAAGTGGGAGCAATATGGTGAGATTTCTTTATATGTTCTTCTATATCTGCTCAATCTCTGCATCTTTTCAATTTAAACTAGATGTCATATCTGTGCTAATTTATTTACCTTTCTTGCATTCATGTCTTTGTGGATACGGTAGTAACTGTCTCTAAATTGGAAGACCAGTAATTGGAATTTGCATGTGAACTTAATGGCTTTGGGCTCTTGATTTCCTTTTTAGTACATTTATATATAGACTTGCTTTAGAACAAAAGATTGTTTTAAACCTTGTCAAAGATTTGGATGTCATGGCATTTCAAGAATCCCAAGACTACAGTCCCAAGGTTTAACTTGTCATTCAAATGCTTCATTTTACATATTTTCCTTGGGCAGGAAAAAAAAAAAAACAAAAAAAACATTCTCAAATTCAAATAATAGATGTCACTTGTTGTATAAGTACACAGCAAAGACTGATTACAAGGTAGCTCATTCTTAGGGCTGTTACTAACAGTTAGCTTTTCAACTGATATTCTTATGCTGACTTTTGCAGGTGATGTGCGGTGCTGTTGTGCAACCACAGGAAAGATCAATGCTAAGATAAGAAAGCTAGAACATTATAATGTGTAAACCAACTTTTTGAAATGATTTGCTTAGATCATTGACTTGTGGACTTCAAGAGGGTGATGGTTCACATGGGTTCAGCCGGATGCGTGTACAACAGGCGTGGCTGTAAGGATCAAAAATAAAAGATCATTCAGCCTGGCTGTTCTAGATTGGTATCAGATACTATCCCTGACCTTTCCAGCTCCAGAGTATTGTTCAGTAGTCAATTGAAGTAAATGTACTAATG